TTACATCAAAATATTATGTTACGTTTTGGGGGCCAATTTGGGGGCTAAACTAAATTTGGGGGCGCTGGGCAGATCTTTGCACCCCGGCGGCGTATATGCTAAAGACAGCGCTGAGTCGAAGGGCTCTGGATAAAATAGGCAACATCCACACGATGCATTTAAAGCACTATGTTGCCACTTTAGCTTCCACCAAGGAATCCTGGGAGTTGTAGTTTGTTAAAAGAGCGGTGAGAGTTCTTAGGGGACCCCTGTCTTCACGGAGCCACAGTTTCCAGAGCTGTTTAACAACCAATCCCTCATTTCAGGGAAGTCTGAGAATTGTGGCTCTGTGAGGGAAACATGGCTCTCCCACCACCAAAGCTGAGCACCCTTAACAAACTACAGCTCCCAGGACTCTGGGGGGGAGTGTAAGCCTCATTTGAAGTGGCATCATAGCGCTTTAAACGTATACCAGTGTTGGTATACATCCACCAGTGTCGAAGCAATGATTCTTCAACATCAACTTCGTTGGACTGGTCATGTTGTGCGGATGCCTGATGATCGTCTTCCAAAGCAACTACAGTGATACCTCTGGTTACAAACTTAATTCGTTCCAGAGGTCCGTTCTTAACCTGAAACTGTTCTTAACCTGAAGCACCACTTTAGCTAATGGGGCCTCCCGCTGCCACTGTGCTGCCGCCGCACGATTTCTGTTCTCATCCTGAAGCAAAGTTCTTAACCTGAGGTACTATTTCTGGGTTAGCGGAGTCTGTAACCTGAAGCATCTGTAACCCGAGGTACCACTGTACTCTATTCCAAACTTTAAAATGGAACGCGTAATGCTGGCGGGCAACAAAAGAGGTTTAAAGACTCTCAAGGCAAAACTAAAAAAATGTAGTATAAACACCGACAACTGGGAAACACTGGCCTGCGTGCGCTCCAGTTGGAGAACAGCCTTTACTAAAGGTGTCACGGGCTTTGAAGACACTCGAACTCAGGACACAAGGGAGAAACGTGCTAAGAGGAAGGCACGCTTAGCAAATCCACACCGTGATCAACTCCCGCCCGGAAACCAATGTCCCCACTGTGGAAGGATGTGTGGATCCAGAATTGGCCTCCACAGTCACTTACAGACTCATTGTTAAGACTGTGTTTATGGAAGACAATCTTACTCAGCTACGAGGGATCGCCAAAGAAGAAGAAGTTGTCTACCTCTATTGCTTTGGATATCGAACGAGAATGAGTGGAAAGTGTGTGGCCTTGGGCAGAAAACGGGGTCTGGCAGCCACATGTTCTTCCTCTCCTCGGGTGTGATGATTAGGATGAAATATTTCCCGCCTGGAAACTGCCGTCAAGAGAGATACATGGACCGCATGCCTCATCTTTCAACAAAGAACATGGCTTCCAGCGTCGGCCAAGCCTTGAAACCCACCCCTTTGGAAAAAAGACATCTGCAGGCTCTTAAGGGGGGTGGCGGTTCAAATCTCTCTTTACACAGACATTTCATGCTGTCAAACCAATGGGTGTTTTAAAAAATGAAAATAAAAATTACATTTTAATAGGATGGGTGAGCCACAGCTGTTGGCTGTTCTGTTATGGCTTAAAAGTCCGCACCCATCAAGCACTATAATTATCACAATTTCCCCCGCACAGATTGGGTTTATACCTGCCAGGGCCTCTTTGCACCTTCCACAAGGGCTGTTCTGGGTAGGGTTAATATTTATACAGCACTGTCTTGGAAACACTTTGCAAGCACTCCTTTGTCATGCAGCCATGAAACAGGTGAAGGAGGCAACATGATAGAAGTCTGATGTAGAATATTGTAGAATATTATTCATTTGAGCAGCTGAAGACATTACAAAAAAAAAAGGAAGATACATAGAACAAAACAAAACACACTAAACAGTTAATGTAATTACTGGAACCAGGCAAGAGTTTGCTTCCCTGAAGAATTTGACTTAGCATCTCCACAAACTTTTCTCCTTAAAATTGCCATTCTAAAGGCAAAACAGGCCACTTTTTCAGAAGTGCAAAGGGACTTGTCCCCTGGTAAAAAGTCAATCAGATACCCAATCGGTGTCTCAGTTTGGAAATTTAAATTAAAAGAAGATTTCAAATCCTTTTTGATTCAGCACACCAGTAAAATCTTCAGGTGCATTACTTCCACTTTGGCAAACTCTCTCTAGAGGTTTATAAAACGATGTCTGGCACGGAAAAAGTGGATCATGAAAAGTTTTCTCTCTCGTAATACTAGAATCCATTGGCGTCTAAGGAAGCTGAGTGCTGGAAGACTCAGGACAGATAAAATGAAGTCTCTACCCATGAGGTCTGTGAGGGAAGCTGTCCCCAGAAAAAAGGTGTTTTGGGAACTATAGTATTGCACCTGCTTTGATAGATAGCCTATCTGTGAAGAGGTATAAAAACTGCAAAAAGAGTGTGTGGAAGGATACTGTTATACTCAAAAAGTAAAGTGGTACCTTGGTTCTCAAACTTAATTAGTTCCAGAAGTCTGTTCCAAAACCAAAGCGTTCCAAAACCAAGGCACACTTTCCCATAGGAAGTAATACAAAACGGATTAATCTGTTCCAGACTTTTAAAAACAACCCCTAAAACAGCAATTGAACATGAATTTTACTATCTAACGAGACCATTGATCCATAAAATGAGCAATAATCAATATACTGTACCATAAAATAAATAAGACAGTATTGTAGATGATAAAAATTAAAAAGTTTTTTTTCTTACTTGCACTGATGTCATTGTTTGGATGGGGGGCTTTTATCCATTTCCACAGTCACACAATCAATCAATCAATCAATCAGTAGCTGGACTGGGTTCCACACAGTCACAAAAACAAATGAACCGAAAAAGCCTCAGAAACAAAAACGCAAAATAAATAGCAAAAACGAAAGCGCCAAACTTAATCTGCTCCGGAAGTCCGTTTGACTTCCGAAATGTTTGAAAACCAAGGCACAGCTTCTGATTAGTGCAGGCGGTCCGGAAACAATAGTAAACAGCCCATTGGATGTTCGGCTTCCAAAAAACGTTTGAAAACTGGAACACTTAACTCTGGGTTTTCAGCATTTGGGAACCAAGGCGTTTGAGTACCAAGGCACCCCTGTATTACGAATACTTCTGCAGGAAAAGCTCAGCCTTGAGCTTGCCTTGAGAACGTCCTGATAACGCAGGCATGCTTTTCCTCCGAGAACGTGGCTTAATTTCGATGCCCACAGAAAGCCAAGGGCAGGGAAGGCCTCTCTAGAAGACTGTGCACCATATTTTTCGCTCTATAAGACGCACCTAGTTTTTGGAAGAGGAAAACAAGAAAAAAAACATTCTGAATCCCAGAAAGCAGGACAGCAAGCGGGATTGCTGTGATCCCGCTCGCTGTTCTGGCTTCTTGTTAAGCCGCGCATAGCCTCTCCTGAGCAAGGGGAGCCTTCATCCCCTGCCTGGGAGAGGCTGCGCACGGCTATATCTCCCCCAAGAGCTGCGCTCCCTTTAAAGAGTGCACGGAGCGTGTGTGCTGCTCTTGAAAAAGCCCTCAAGAGCATCACACATGCTCCACGCGGCTCTTTAAAGGGAGCGCTGAGCAGAGCTTCCCGCCTGCATTCACTCCATAAGACGCACACACATTTCCCCTTACTTTTTAGGAGGGGAAAAGTGTGCCTTATGGAGCGAAAAATACAGTAATTTAAAAGGCCTGTGGAACCTGCTTTTGTTCACCAGCAGGCGCTGGACCAAGTCACCACCATACCGCTCAACTGTCTCGTTTTAAGCTTGACATCCCAGAGTTACAGAAGTCGCCTTGGCATCTGATCCCAATCCCAGATTTCTTGTTTTGGTTCCCATGCTTCCGCTGCACCCAAGACGCAACTTTTTGGTCCGGCACTGTGGTGCGAGTCAGTTGGCTCACACCAGAGCATGGGACCAAGAAGTGGACCAAGAAGACGTGCCCACTTAGGTTGCCCCCAAGCACTGCCCACTCTCCTTCCTCCTTCCGCTCCTGCTTTCCAGCCAACGTACTTCTGGAAGCTGGCACTGGCTTCCGGAAGTGTGGTGCCCATTCCAGAAGTATGTTGGTGGTTAAGGAATGGTGGGTCTATTGAAGAACAAACAAACAAGATGAATTTTAACAGGGAGAAATGTAAAGTATTGCACTTGAACAAACAAGATGGATTTTAACAGGGAGAAATGTAAAGTATTGCACTTGGGCAAAAAAAATGAGAGGCACAAATACAAGATGGGGGACACCTGGCTTGAGAGCAGTACATGTGAAAGAGATCTAGGAGTCTTGGTTGACCACAAACTTGACATAAGCCAACAGTGTGATGCGGCAGCTAAAAAGCCAATGCAATTGTGGGCCTCATCAATAGGAGTATAGCATCTAGATCAAGGGAAGTAATAGTGCCACTGTATTCTGCTCTGGTCAGACCTCACCTGGAGTACTGTGTCCAGTTCTGGGCACCACAGTTCAAGAAGGACACTGACAAACTGGAACGTGTCCGGAGGAGGACAACCAAAATGGTCAAAGGCCTGGAAACGATGCCTTATGAGGAACGGCTAAGAGAGCTGGGCATGTTTAGCCTGGAGAAGAGGAGGTTAAGGGGTGATATGATAGCCATGTTCAAATATATAAAAGGATGTCACATAGAGGAGGGAGAAAGGTTGTTTTCTGCTGCTCCAGAGAAGCGGACACGGAGCAATGGATCCAAACTACAAGAAAGAAGATTCCACCTAAACATTAGGAAGAACTTCCTGACAGTAAGAGCTGTTTGACAGTGGAATTTGCTGCCAAGGGGTGTGGTGGAGTCTCCTTCTTTGGAGGTCTTTAAGCAGAGGCTTGACAACCATATGTCAGGAGTGCTCTGATGGTGTTTCCTCCTTGGCAGGGAGTTGGACTTGATGGCCCTTGTGGTCTCTTCCAACTCTATGATTCTATGATTGTATGAAGAAATCCCCCTGCCAGGACCTTCTTTGTGATGGCCCCACTGCTATGGAAGAGATCTACAAGAGGTTAAGGACAGCTGACTCAGCAGAGCATAAGACTCTCAATCTCAGGGCTGTGGGTTTGAGCCCCACGTTGGGCAAAAGATTCCTGCATTGCAGGAGGTTCGACTAAATGAGCCTTGTGGTCCCTTCCAACGCTACAATTCTGTGATCTATGAAACAGGTGGACCCAAGTTTTTCAGAAGTCCTTAAACACCTTTGACGGACCATTCTTGAGAAACTTGGTCGCATTTGCGGGACGAATGCCACAATGCTATGCTATGGAGTTTGTCTGCTTTTTTGAAATATGTTTTGGGTTTTTTTTTTGTAGCGCTGATTTTTATTTATTTAAAAAAACGTTGTATTTCTTTTTCGTGCTTTAAGCTGCTTTTGATGGCCTTTGCATAGCAAAGCGGTGTAGATTTTCGTTGAAAATTAAATAAATAAACAGTCCATTTTAAATAATAATAATAAATTATGTAGTGATTAGAGTGTCAATCTGGGACCTGCGAGAGACCAAGGTTCGGATCTCTACTCGGCCGTGAAGCTGACCGAATGACCTTAGGCCAGTTACTGCCTCTCTCAGCCTATCCTACCTCGCAGGGTTATTGTGGAGAATTAAATGGGGGGGGGGCGTGGGAGAACCCTGCACCCCCCCAAGCTCCTTGGAGAAAAAGAGGACTATACATGCAATGCAATGCAATAATAAAATAAATAAAATAAAATAAAGCAGCTTCCTACGTAAGTGAAGTGGCATGCACACCTTTTGTTTTCTATGGTTTGAAGCTCAACATCAAAAAAATGAAGATCCTGGCCACTGGTCCCATCACCTCCTGGCAAATAGAAGGGGAAGAAATGGAGGCAGTGAGAGATTTTACTTTCTTGGGCTCCATGATCACTGCAGATGGTGACAGCAGCCACGAAATTAAAAGACGCCTGCTTCTTGGGAGAAAAGCAATGACAAACCGAGACAGCATCTTAAAAAGCAGAGACATCACCTTGCCGACAAAGGTCTTTATAGTTAAAGCTCTGGTTTTCCCAGTAGTGATGTATGGAAGTGAGAGCTGGACCATAAAGAAGGCTGATCGCCGAAGAATGGATGCTTTTGAATTCTGGTGCTGGAGGAGACTCTGGAGAGTCCCAAGGACTGCAAGAAGATCAAACCTCTCCATTCTGAAGGAAATCAGCCCTGAGTGCTCACTGGAGGGACAGATCGTGAAGCTGAGGCTCCAAGACTTTGGCCACCTCATGAGAAGAGAAGACTCCCTGGAAAAGACCCTGATGTTGGGAAAGATGGAGGCCACAAGGAGAAGGGGACGACAGAGGACGAGAGGGTTGGGCAGTGTTCTCGAAGCTACCAACATGAGTTTGACCAAACTGCAGGAGGCAGTGGAAGACAGGAGTGCCTGGCGTGCTCTGGTCCATGGGGTCACGAAGAGTCGGACACGACTAAACGACTAAACAACAACAACAGCAATTTGAGTCTCAAACATTCCAGAAGAAGTCGCCTCTGATTCCACAGCTCTTTGAGGACTTATCTCCCCAGGAATACCCAGGAGATTACTCTCTTGCTCCAGAAAACCTTTTCTCCATAAACTTCTATCTTGGCGCCTCTTATTCATCTTGTCCCTAAACGAAGAAGTCCCCATCACTGCAACCTTTCATGGGCATAGCCAGGGGAGGATGGGGGGGGCAGTTGCCCCTCCCCATCAAAACACTTAACTGAAACTAGAAATGAACTAGGGTTACTGAGTGTGTGCAGAAAAACTGGATTCGGAAAAAAGGAGGAACTGCTGGAAAGGTTTTCAGCAAATCCAAGAAAACATGTTTTAGTTTAGATTTTTTTAAAAATAAGATGGAAAAAGGTGTGTTCTTTGCAGTTTTGTGAAACAGACTCATTAACCATATGATGCTTCATGCTATGCCTACTAAGTCCAAACCATTTTGCAACATTTGGGTTCCGTTAATATTAGAGATAATCTCCTTTTGTTTCACTGTGGTGGCTTGGTCAAATGGGGGTGGGGTTTTTCAGCTGAACCCCCAAAGCAAAATGAGAGGTGAAGAGTGGAGTAATTTGGGGGGGCAGTGGGAAATTCAGGCCCTGCCAAAGTCTATATTTGCCAGAAAACTTTATCAAACCACCACCCTCTCCTCCCCCCTGCATAACCCTCCCAGTCATTTTTTTTTAATCAGGTTTCAACTGGTGTTGACTTGAATTGCAGCCTACTTATTTGAAAAGCTTGGACGGCCGATAACCTAACTGCCCACTTGCTGTTATCTCCATGAGGACCAGGAATCTGGCAAGCTGCTCTCTTCTGAAGAGGATTTGGCAGAAGCAGGGAGTTCACTTCCCCCTTCACTGCTCTCATCTGCTGAGAGTGGCATGTGAGTCATGGGGGGGGGGGGCTTCCTCCTCTGGAGCTAAGAGAGCAATCTCCTGGGTATTCCTGGGGAGATAAGTCCCCAAAGAGCTGTGGAAACAGAGGCGACTTCTTCTGGAATGTTTTAGACTCAAATTGTTGTTGTTGTTGTTTAGTCGTTTAGTCGTGTCCGGCCTTGTGTCTGGACCCTGCTTGATGGTTTCCTGCAAGCCTCTGTTGTAAATAAAAATTGCCCTTTTCCCTTATGGGGTATCCAAGAGCCCATATAGAGTCCTTACATAGGTTCCCTATTGGTAGGAGAGAATAACAGAGGCCAACCAGGGAATATTGAGAAGCAAAGCGGCTAGTAAGCTTGATCTTTATTGATCTGTTGCAACAGGGTGCTCCCCTCAAATGCAGGAGAGGAGAAGGAACCCAGAAAAATAGCACGCAAGGCCTTATAAAGACTTTTGAAATTGCCACTCTGTAGAACAAGACCACCCCCAGAAACATCATACATACATCACAGAAAGGGTGTAACCTAAGACCACCCCTCAGATACATCATACCTACATCACAGAAAAGGTGGTCTTAAAACAGAAATTTGTTGTTTTTCTCCTGTCCTTGTTTATCTCCTGTCTGGCAGGTTACTTGATTGGATTGCCTGGGTAGCTTGGCCAGTCCTTTGTAATGATAAATACTTAGTTCCTGGGCCAGGTCACAGGCTCACACCCTATTCATATCTTAAATGTGCCCTTAAGACAGGGACGTGGGTGGCGCTGTGGGTTAAACCACAGAGCCTAGGACTCTGGTCGGTGGTTCGAATCCCCGCGACGGGGTGAGCTCCCGTTGCTCGGTCCCTGCTCCTGCCAACCTAGCAGTTCGAAAGCACGTCAAAGTGCAAGTAGATAAATAGGTACCGCTCCGGCAGGGAAGGTAAACGGCGTTTCCGTGCGCTGCTCTGGTTCGCCAGAAGCGGCTTAGTCATGCTGGCCACATGACCCGGAAGCTGTACGCCGGCTCCCTCGGCCAATAAAGCGAGATGAGCGCCGCAACCCCAGAGTCGGTCACGACTGGACCTAATGGTCAGGGGTCCCTTTACCTTTACCTTTAAGACAGGATTTGTGAGGAAAGAGACAATGGGGAGGTTTCCCACTTTGCCCTTGTAGAGAAAACATTTACTCAGTTTAGGAATCAAAATGGTTCCAGGTCGGTCTTCCTGTGCTGATCTATGTAACTGCTTGGTTGGTAGGCTTATGAACATTACCATATATCTAAGACCATAAAATTCCCATCACACCTCTGACTGACCACAGGACATTTTGGACCAGATGAGCCACTGGTCTGATTCAGAAGCCTCTTCCTATTTCCTTCTGACCAGCCTCCTCTGATTAAGACATGGCATTGCAATGCAAATGGATGCTGGGAATGAGCTCTGAGCTCAGTGTCAAAAGGATTTCACCATTCCCAGTGGTGGTGTGATTCCGGAAAGCGCTCTGGAAAAGTGGGAAGGCGGCTTATGCCAAGTCCTTCATCACTGGCCTGCAATGCAGCTTCCTTCCTGCTTTGTATAAATGACTTTCCCATGGCAGATCAAGGGAAAATATGTCGCTCTGACAACCAAAACAGATAAGCGTACGTAGAGCAGCAAACCCAGCTGGGCTGCAAATGGCTCGCTGGAGGGAGCGTGGAAAAAAGAATTCACGGGCTCCTTTAAGTGAGTTTTCAGATCCTCCAATCAACCACGGGACAAAGGTGACAAGTTGAGCACTTCTCGGTCAGGGCTGCCTGGAAGCAAAACACAGGAAGCCACAAGGCAAATTATCCTTCTGACTATGGCAAAATATCATGTCATTAGCAGGCTCTCTCGTGAGGCTAGCCTGAAGCCCTGCTCAGTTGCAACTCGCGAGGTCCAAAGTGAAATGGGCTTGATCCTGCTAACACCCCTCTGAATTTTCATATTGGATATTCTCCAGACAGGCTCTGGATGTTTGAATATTTCCCCCCAAGCAGCCATCAGATATTTCACACCTTACGATTTTTGTGTGTGCCAGTTATCTGTTGAATATTGGTTGATGTTGTTTAGTCGTTTAGTCGTGTCCGACTCTTCGTGACCCCATGGACCAGATCATGCCAGGCACTCCTGTCTTCCACTGCCTCCTGCAGTTTGGTCAAACTCATGCTGGTAGCTTCAAGAACACTGTCCAACCATCTTGTCCTCTGTCGTCCCCTTCTCCTTGTGCCCTCCATCTTTCCCAACATCAGGGTCTTTTCCAGGGAGTCTTCTCTTCTCATGAGGTGGCCAAAGTATTGGAGCCTCAGCTTCAGGATCTGTCCTTCCCGTGAGCACTCAGGGCTGATTTCCTTCAGAATGGAGAGGTTTGATCTTCTTGCACTCCATGGGACTCTCAAGAGTCTCCTCCAGCACCATAATTCAAAAGCATCAATTCTTCGGTGATCAGCCTTCTTTATGGTCCAGCTCTCACTTCCATACATCACTACTGGGAAAACCATAGCTTTAATAAGGACCTTTGTTGGCAAGGTGATGCCTCTGCTTTTTAAGATGCTGTCTAGGATTGCCATCGCCTTTCTCCCAAGGAGCAGGCGTCTTTTAATTTCGTGGCTGCTGTCCCTATCTGCAGTGAACATGGAGCCCAAGAAAGTAAAATCTCTCACTGCCTCCATTTCTCCCCCTTGTATTTGCCAGGAGGTGATGGGCCCAGTGGCCATGATCTTCGTTT